GTTACATGCAGGCTTTGACTATTAATACCACTTCAGTATCCAATAGTCAAATGAGACAGGTTACCCTAGCAAGGGATCAATGGATCTCCAAAGAAAAACTGTCTTATTCTTGCTTGTTCTTAGTCAAGAATAGTTAAAGAAACAATATTTTATTCATCTATGTGATAACCGCATCTTTGTTCTTTCTTGTTTATTATAATGTAAAAACCTTTAAGGAAGCGATCTTTTTTGATCGCTGGTTTTTTTGAACCAATGAATTTTTTGACCAATGGTTGATCAATTCTAATTGCTCTAATAAATTGCTCTAATTTCTAATTGCTTTTCATAGTGAGGAATCGAAGATCCTCGATGAAGCGATCTAAGATTCTTTGTTCTTGTTTTTCCTACGGATCCACAAGGAGATTATCTCTATTTGGCTCTTATTTGTTATAATTCCTGTATTTGTTTCTATGAAATTTAGGATCTTCAAAGAAACAGTCTCTAATTATTTGTTCTTTTTTATAGTCATGACATTTAGGATCTTCAAGGGAGCAGTCTAATTCTTTGTTCTTGTATGTAGTCATGAAATTTAGGATCTTCAAGGAAGCAGTCTCTAATTCTTTTTTCTTGTTTGTGGTCATGTCCTGGCGAGGCCAAGGCTGTGGCCAAGAGAAAGCCTCTTGATTGACACCACAGTTCTGGACCTGGAGTCTGTAGTCTCAACCGTGCTGTAATTAATGGCTTCTTGTCTCGTCTGGACTCTGTAGACTCAACTACCGGTCCACGTGTTCGACTACTCGGCCACGTATATCGGATGAACCAATCGGTTACTCAATCGGTTGTGTATCAATCGATCCACCTTACAACTTGTATGAAGATTTAAATTTTGTGGATTGTGGGTGGAAAATAGACCCTCGCACACTCTTTGAGATTTCTAAGATTGACTTCACTGTATATATTGAGAAAAGCTAAACTTTTCACAATTGAGCCACATACAAACCAATGTTAATTAGACGAGCGTTCTATTTATTCTATGGTATACTGACCGATTTCGTAGGAACACCCGTAAACGTGGTTAGATTTTTCAACTATTTAACCACTTTTTTACTTATCGTATAAAATAATCACGGCTTGTTATTTTTAGCTAAGACACTTCACAAGATTATTGGGTGCTTGGTCAAATTCAAATTCACCAAATCACTGTGGACCTAATGATCGAACGGGCATATTCTGATGAATAGATGATCTTGATTTCTTGACGCAACTATCTTTTATTCTGAGCCATTCCTATTGACCAATGGTACATCTCTCGACTTCAACCGAAATCAATCCCTTCATAGCTAATTTCCTTGATAATAACCACCGAGAATTGTAATTTTGTACGATTATCAACGCCTTCAAGAGGCCGAGCCCGAGGACAAAGCTTGGAACACCGATTGTTTTCACAAACTCACAATAAACTAACTACTGAGAGAAAGAAACCATTCTAATTGCCTACAAGATGGCGGCCCATTGTATGTGCGATGGCCAATTATTGCTGGCCTGAGGCGGTTTTACCCATCAGCTTCTGTACTACGTCGCTGGAAGCTTCGCAGGCAATACGCATGCGCGCAAGGCTACACAGCTGCGTAGACATTACGCATGCGTACAAACAACACAGCTTCGTACAAAAGCTGCGTAAGAGTGCTACGCTTCCTGGTCCCAAAAAACCTAAGATTTAACATTCAACTGTTTTAAATCTGTGCCATGTATTTATTTTAATCGCATTCTGTACTTGTTAAGCTGGACAACATTTTTCGTTAAGAGATTTGCCAATAGTTTTTAAGCGAGGATTTCAGCGTTAATCAGTTGTTGATAAATGACGTTAGTAGAAAATCCTCCTCAAAACTCATTTTATACAAACAAATTGTAATCAAATTGTATCTTTACTGTCAGCCTCTATGAGAGTAAAAATATGGCCTTCATAATTGTTCATCAGAGTAAAGCACATTATATAATTTAGATAAACATTTCGTAGAAGATGAAAGAAACGCCATAAGCTTTAAATTTTACGATATGACGAAGACTACTAGCAAAAAAAAATTAAAATGGTATTTACAAATTATCCTTCTCCTTGAAACCTGGGAGATTTTTAGTCAATTCCGCTTGAAATTTTGAAGATCACCATGAATAAAAATAGTGAGTTGATTGAACTCTCGAGATAACCCGGTTAGAAACGTTTACTAATCGAATGAGACGTTACAATCCACCAGTCTCAGTTGAATAGAACGTGATTACAGGCTTAATTTTGTCGTAAATCTGTTTCCTAAACTTCAAAAAAGACCTTTTGGGTGGATAATGTCTTTTAAAATTCGATATAGTAGTCATAAAAGACTCTAAATGTGCTGAACAACCTTGCCTCCATCCTATGGAAAACAAACTGTCGCCCGTTGTAGTAAATTTCCGAAATGACTCACCCTAGAAAAATCCGACCTTGCCAACCACTCTGCTCGCCAACCATTTGTAAGCTGTCTGAGATGTCTGTTTGGTTGTTTGTTTGTTTGTTCACCTTGTTGGCTGGCGGGAGGTCTTGAACTTTACTACCAGACAAGTAGTCGGGTTTAGGAGACACAAAAATTATATTTTTGAATTCGAATCACTGGTCTATTGTGTAAGTTTACCCCAAACAACAGCAACCAGAAACTTTCCTTGATTCTCTGTGGGAAAAAAAATCTTAGTCCAATTGCTTTCGTAATTAATCCTCACAATTAGCATTCCCATTCGTGTGAATCCAATAGAAATCAGAGTATTTTTAACTCAACGCTCTCCCTTCAAGTAGAGATATTCAATCCATCCTTACCGATTAAGGTTGACCTATTTACTGTAGTGTGAACGTGCAATCCAAGTAAAATCCAAATCCATACTTGAAAAACCCATAAAATCCTTTTTGGCCTTAGCTCATCTTGCTTTCATCATTAATACTTCATCAAATCAATAATCTGTCACCTCATTAATTTACTAAATAAAATTTTATCCTGCGTTATTCCTTTTTCCATTCAAAGGTCATTTCTCTTTGATTTGCCGCTCTAAGAAATGTTGTTGACAGCTTTTATGGTTATTTTATTCATTGACCGCTGCGTTTGCAGTTTCTTCCCAACTAGTTGCAACAAAGTTAAAGTTTATTAGTGCAGGGGTCGACGTTATCATTCTTTTGATTAAATTTTACGACTTATTTACCACGAAGATTGTATGGTGAAATGCGCTTTTCATTTAAGCTAAAGCTACGTTGAAATCACTGAATAAAGATATATAGGTTTTAAAATCACTTATAACAATTACAGTTTTTGGTGAGCACTACAGGGTGGAAAGTTACAAGTTTGAAAGGTTGTAGCAGTTTACGTACACAACTCATAAGGCTTTGTTATCCATAAATATCAAACACGTACATTTTAATATCAGTAAGATAGTTTAAGTTTCAAGTATAATGCATTGCCAAAAAATAAAAGTATCAGTATTAGCAAAACTATGCAGCGCTTATCTGAAACACTTTTAACCGTACACCTCAGTCATACCGTCTAAGATTTAATTTTTCAATTTCTAACTTTTTCCACGTAGACAGTTAGTTTACAACGGGTGAAAAACATTTGTACGGTAATGTATTTTGATAAATAATTGCTCCAAAATAAACTTCTACAAGCAGTGACAGTTTCAGTATACTCCACGTCAACATTTCAGAAATTCAGAATACAACGACCTAATTATTATCAGTTGCAGAAGATCTAACAATTTTGTTTTTCCACTCTAAAACTTCCGATGATGCAGTTAGTTTCTCATCACTGGGAAGGCCAAACAAGCGGGGAGCAAAAAACAAAACGGCCACACACAAACGGCCGGACCGAAAGTAATGGTTAAATTGACCCAACACAGGGCCTTGCCGCCCTTTGGCCCACGAGGTTAGACAGCCGTGAAAATCGTCGGTTCCCAGAAGATCGTCATGAATGAGGTGCGCGGGTTGAATGGACGCTCGGCCAATGGGAAGAGGGTGGTTGCTGAGGGGCGGAGCTTGCAGTACGCAGGCGCTTCGCTCTTCTGATCCCCTGATCCGACGATGAGTCAGTTGTTTCCCACGTGCTCTGCCACCCTGTTCCTACATTTCACAGGTGCTATAATAGAATCTAAGTCAATCTAGAGTCGCTCCATACTGTTCCACCATTGCACAGGTAACTTTAATTGATTTGGATTACCCTTAGAAATTGTTCTGTATTTTCACAGGTGCCTTCCTACTTTCTTAACCCTCCCTAAAATTGTCCCAGCTGATTTTTGTCAACGTCTTGCATCTTATCATGTGACCTCTGAATCTGATGGTTTGTATGTTAACCTCTGTGCATGAATCTTTACTTCAGTTTACTCCTTGATTCATTATTTACTCATAAACAAGAATTCGTTCTTTGGATCAATTGATACGTAACTTCAGACTATCTGCACTTAACTAACTTCTGCAGGTAACTTCTGACATTCACTTCTTTAGACTAAAATTTAATTTGTTCCTCTTGAATCTTTTAATTGCTTCTAAACATGAATCAATTTTTTTATCAGTTCCCCACATGCCTTCCAAAGTTTTTTTTTCTCGCTTTCCATTTTCTTACCGTCTTATCGTTATTCTTTACACGAGTTTTTAATTTTAATTTCCTTCAATTATACTAATTGCTCCTAGACTAATCCCATCCCCTGAAGCCCTTCCCTTGCACCTATTCCATTTACTTCTGATGTTGTATTCGCACTCCTTAACACATGTTTTTAATTCAATCTACCCCTTATTTCTTGTAATTGCTCCGAGACAGGAATCCAAATTTTCCATCATCAATTACGTGACCTTTAGAGCTTTCTTTTGCTTATCCTTGTAAATTCCAAATTATATACTATCAATTAAGTCCTCTGGCATCATATCACAACTGTTTATGGCCCTAACATTTCTAGCATTTATGCTTCTGACTGCCTATTCTTCCTGGAGACATAACCTCTGACCTCCTGTTCTGTTTCAGAAGCCATGCTGTTCCTTGCCTCATTGCTCCTGGTGCTGAGTGGTCTTCAGGTTATGCCTGATGCTGAGAGCTTGATTGTGGGTAAGTAGTACTTTATTTGTTTTAAATACATTATTTTTATGTCCGCATCCTTTGCTACTATAAAACTTCTCGTTGTTTCACGGTATGATGTCTTGGATTCAGCATCGAGGAGGAAGTTTTTTTTAGCTCTAATGATGATGTAGTTTTTAAATATAAAAAGAATTATGAAGAATCTTGTGAAGATCTCTTCTGTAATTTCTTATCAATCTATGTACTGTACATACTTTGCCCTTATTTTAATTTTTATGAAAAAAATGTTCTTAAGGTAGGCCTACTTTATAAATAAATACGCTTAGGTATTTTATGTTGTATGGAGTAAGATTATTTCTTGAATACCAGTTACAAATAGTTAATTATTTGAATACTAGTAGTTGCATTGCAAGTAACGTGTAGTGACGAAAAATCTTCGCAAAAAGTCTTGCAAGGCTGCAGTGGGCTGAAAATTTTTAACCAGGAAGAATTGCAACCATTATACTATGGATGTCGAGTTGAAAAGAGACTTTAGACCTTAGTGATGAAATATACTATTTCTAAAGGGTTTAGTATATTGAGTCAAACACAAAACCAAGAACTATTCTCAAGAAATAAATAGAAAATAGAAAACAAGGAACTTCATCTACCAACCAAACTATTCTCAACTCCAGCTCACGTTTACCAACCGTATATCTCTCCCAATAGAGGATGGCCAGTTTATAACTAAGATAAATGATTGAACAAACCCCGCCAACATTGTATGGTCAATGCCGAATCTATGTTTGACAACATAATTTAGTCGACGCCAGTTGACTCCAATCTCGTGAATCTGAACTTTAGCACAGATAATTGGTCAAACTTGCGAGGTCGATCACTTTGAGAACGCTTTGTCTTCGGAATAATTCGATCCACATCACTTTGGTGCATTGGAGTATTTGCGAGGTGGTAAAGTCGACCAGTTTTTGGCTTGTGTTTCCTTAATAAGACAAATTGTTTTCCGCTTGAATCGGTATATAATGCTGTGTTTCCGTGAAATTTAGACATCCATCAGTACTAAGTCGAAGTAATATTGGCCTTTTAAATAATTTATACCATTCATCGAAAGATCATTTATATCACTTAATGGTGGTGGTTCAGTAATTGGATTTAATTTAACTGTATGTACCTAAGCTGAAGAAATATTGTAATAGTTTTTATGTTACCTAGTTTGTGGTTTGTTGGTAAATAATTGAATAACAATTTCGATAACTGAAACATCGAACTCACTTTTATATGTTTGCAGTCTTTTAGCTCATTTGAATTCCGATAGTGCACATTTATAAGTTAAAGAAATATATCGAAAGTGGTGATATTTCAACTGAGAATGATAATTTCAAACTTCCATTACTTCTTTTAAGTTTTTAAACCCTTATATTTCAACACAATTAAGTACTTTACTTTCTTAGGTCGATCATATAATCTGAGCTTTACCGTTTTAGTTAATTATATTAAATACATTTTTTGCTTCAATAATTGTTGGCCGGGATTATAAGAGCTCGTATAGTTCTCTCTGCTAAATGTGGCATAGTGCCTTTAATGAAATTCAACAAACTTTGCATTCGACTTATGTTAATTAAGTAGGTAGCTATTATGATAACGTATATGCAAGTATTAAAATAATCTCGTAATAGTTTGCGATTCCCTAAAATTTGTATTTGTGCTAAATGTTTGAAGACGTTTTAAATTCCCTTTGATTGTATTTTGTAAGTAAACAAAGGAAACTTTCAAAACTACAGCTCCGTAAAGATGCGTTTCTAAGGCATTGGTCCGAAAGAGTGTGACCGGCCGGATACCTCAGTCATTACAGGATTCCTAAATTCACAACTCCGAAGAACCCACAACTGAAGCACTGTTTCGAAAATTCGGAGCAGCGCCTCTCAAAGCAATACTGGACCTCGTCCATCTCAGGCTCATATAATCGTTAGATCGAGTCGTAATTATTTAAGTCAAACAGGTTTGCAGCGTGTTAAAGTTTGAAGGCCCTGAACCTGATTATGCAAGATAGGAGAAACCAATAGTTTCCATCCCTTCTCTTCCACGGGGTTTCATTAAAATATTAATAGACCGGTCGGCAATTTATACGCGGTCATTTGAAATCCTGGTTGTTTAGTGTGGAGAGGCTACTCTAGAACTGGGCCCATAAATAGCTCGTTTCGGAAAAAAATTATTCTAAATTGTTCCAGTGAAGACGTTCAGAGTGTTTATGTATTTATGATAAATTTGAAGTAACAACTTTGAGAAGTAAGTAGCATACAATACTGCTAGTTTGATTTATCTTACAAGCTACAATAGGTTTGATTGATCTTCACAAAATAATGGGGGTGCTTTATATCCATTGCATATTGTGATCAATTAAAAATTACAGATACTCAATCATATACTCTTATATGGACAATGTTTTGCTTGTATGAATGTATGTATGCTTTCACAAGTTCACGGCTTCGAAGATTTCCTTCAAATGTTGTAACTAATTTATATCTGTCCTAAAACTTGTTTACTGCTGTTAAAACTACCAACAAATAACTAAATACGAAAAAAATCAAATTAAAAGTCAAAATTTTTTAACATTGGCCTAATGGGTTGCCAAGTAACCATGTTGGTTGAATAAAATAACAAGCAATAGGTAAACAAAAGACTTGTAACATGTGTTTATAACAAGCCATCCACAGTATACTAGCACATTACAAAGAACAGTACAAAAGGAAAAAACATCAGTTGGTACTATTGAGCAAAGATTACACGGATATTACTCGATATAGGGGTACAATGTAAATAAACTACCAAACCATTGATCGGTCCCCAGGTACTAATAATTAGTTTTTACTATCATAATTGCTACAATCTGTTCAAAGTTGTTAATTGGTGAAGCTACTTTCCCTCACTTAGTAAATGTCTGCAGTAATTCAAAATTTTATGGATTTACCAAGTTTTGACGTCTCTATGAGTAAAGTAAAATACCCAAAATAAAACAATTTACATTCCAAAATTCCTTTACTCACATGTAAACCAAGACCTCCCTGTGAGTTGTTATCTGTTTAACATGTAGCTGCTAAAAGAAGAAAGTAAAAGCCTAACTAATTAGCACTTCCATGCTCGGTGTATCAAAGGAATTTTGATAAGTTTTGGTCAACAAGGGTTAAGCAGACAGTTTAGGTTTATGTAACTCACTTAACATTCCATGGTAACAAGAGATGTTTGGTATACTAATTCTACCAAAAGTGTTTGTCTACATGGTTTAAGAGCATGGTTTCTACGATCAACATGCGTACATATTTTAAATTAAATGTAATTTGTGCTAAGAATGAGGCAATGTCTTGTATTTGAATGGCTCTATAACATTTTGCACTTACTTTCAAGAAAGGATTCAAAACGATAGAAATAATTTGTTAGTGTTTCAGCAACTGAGCATAGCGAAATCCGTTTAATTTTTTTGTTTGTTTTAATTGTTTTTATCTAGATGACATAATACTTTAAAATGTTATTACATCAACTACCTACAGTACTTGTTTTTTGTGAATACGGTGTATCCATCCTACACATGCGTGAAATACTAATTGTAAGTACAAAAATATTTACTTTGGATACTCCAAGGGTAGACTTTACAACCGAATGTAAAAAATTGGCCTTTTTCGTATTTATTTGTCTTTTAATTAAAGTGCATGTACAAGGTTACCCTTGACAGTAATGACAGAGGACTAGTAATTGCAAGAAAATTTAGTGTTTTATTATGTTTAACAAGAAATAAACCGTAACAAACACTACTCTAAAATATACGGATGGAAATGCCTTTCGTCCTAAGCTGATCCACAAGATATAAAACCTACAAATAAGTACAGAATATGGATTTAGATTAAATTTATAAGACAATTAAATGGGGGTTTCAATACACTTTAGAGGCCATTTTGTCGTTTCCCACGTTTTTTGTTATTATATCAGTGTTGTTATTAGTTGCTGTTAATTCACTGTATATAATAATCTATTTGTAAACTATTTCATGTTTTCTAGCATTATAACCCACTATTAGGGAACAAATCTTAAAATGTCCCATTAAATAGGAGAAACACAAGCCTAATCTGCACACTACACACTGAAACCATTATAGCAGGATAAAGATTTTACTAGCATTATTCAAAAATGTTTTTCATGTATGCAAATAAACACAATTTCTACAAATTCGTCAGTGTACCAACACGACACAACGATTTTCCCACAATTCCCCATTGGATAAATTTCTCCCCGCTTTCTACCATGCTGCTGATCTTGCGATACTATCGGAATAATTACCCCCCCCCCCTTCCCCTAACAAGTCTCATTACAGTTTTATTGGCTTGCTTGTTTTTGCTGCAGTAAGATGGGATCTCCCTCGTTTATCGGTCGTGTCTCAGTCTGCTGACGTCGTTCTGTCTTCTGGGAATATTAAGAAAATGTCTATTGGTTATAGCGAATTTCCCATATTGGGAATAAGCTATTACTAAGTACTCTTGGTAAGACCTGGGCCCGGGACCGATTTACTTTTTCGTTTTGAGGTCCCCGCCAAAAACGCCATCCGTCCGTTTGCACGATAACTCGAGCAAAAACGATCCGATTTGATGAAATTTGGTACAAACGTGTAAACCTACGTTTATTCGAATGAGCTCGAGAACCAGCATAATCGGACTATGGGAACGGGGGTTTATGGGGGGTTTAATGGGGCAAAAATTGGGTTTTCACATTTTTACTCTAAAAACATATTTCACAATTTTTTTCCAAACCATTTTGTAGAGCTAAGAAAATAAATAATTTTGTATATTAAAGCGGTGTTGTATGCCCCACGGTTACGGAGATAGTTAAACAGATTGTTAATTTAAGATTCCCATGTTATTCTTATGGAGAATAAATAAACTGTTTTACTTTGTTTATGGATATATTTTAATCCAATTTGCCAATTTTGTTTTATTTCATACTGAGCGATCAACATTTCAATAAAAAAACCCATCTCAATATCTTCA